TATATGTACAAGTTGCACTGTACGTGTCGCTGCACTTCCATTCGCATGAAGCATATTGTGTGAAGTGAACATCGAACACAAGAAACATATGTTTAACAGCTTGCAATTGACATAAGCGTTAACCTCGAACACCTGCAAAATTCCTACAGCATCCTTCTCCAAACAACTCCGTTCATGGGATGATGTAGATGACAATGCGCAGCATCCTTATTATGATGTTTGGCTCGATGGCCCGAACAAATTGTTGTCACAAGTGGTGTTCCTGGACATGTCTAGGCTAAACAATACTAAACACATCTAAAACCTATTAAATTATGCTCATAATGCTTGCTTTGGTCAGTTGCATCCCTAGCACCGGATGGTTCCATGTAGAGACCAATGAGGAAACATAAAGAAAGTACAATGACAATCGAGCAATATTGAAGCCCTTTGTCATGTTGATGCCGCAGTAGGACACATGGAGATGGTCCCAACCATTATGGTGATTGCCTGAATGCGCTCCGCCTGGCTTGTGCTGCTGGAATCAAGTCCACTTCTAATATGAGTTCATCACTCTGAGGAGGTTCGGAGGTCCCCTTAAACCATGGGTATCAAACATTATCAGTTCCGTTGTTCCGTTGTTGTTCCATGGTCCCGCGCTTCTCCGTTCCAACTGCCAGAGATCAGCACGTGGAGACATTGCCCGCTGTTGGCATCCCAAAGCCGCGCCAACTTCCCACTGCCGGTCACAATGCGATCGCCCAAAGGGTTGTTGAAGGCCTCCAGTGGTTGGGCTGCTGAAGCGAACTCGGTCAGTGGTTGGGTCGGCGCTGGCAGCTTGTAACTGATGTGGGAACCTTCAGGTTGTCCACTTGGTAGTTGACACAGGTGGTCTTCTTCTTACAACACTTCGAAGAATGGTGGCAAATCAGGAACTTCAAACTTCTTATACACGTGGAATCCTTCCCTTGTTGCACCTTGTTGCAATCCAGTTCCACTTCGCCTTCTAGCCACATCTAGCCGCTAGAGGGCTCGCACTCGAGCTCCAGATGCGTGACCGCATGACCGAATGCCGTGCGTTGGCTCGGTGGGCCGGAGCGTTCCCCCCGTCGCTCTCCCCTCGTTGACCCGACCAAACATCCTAATGGATCCATTAACCACTTCACGGAACGAGATCTTCCTCCAAAAACCAGCTGCGAACGATGGTTTCCGCATGTTTCCGCCCCTCTCTTCATACCCTTTGCTTTCCCAGGTTCCGCGGCGTTCACGGGGCCATCGTGGCCCTCCAATGTCAGAAGTTCCTCGCCAAAAACGTCCCAAACTCGACAGCTGCGGTCAAAGGAGGCCGTGAGGATCTTTGAGCAGGACTTGTTGAAAGAGCAACTGGTCAATGGCAAAAGGTGACCTGCGAGGATGGGTAAGACAGGGATTGAAAGGAGCCTGAGTGAGTCTAAGTCTAAAACCTAACGAAACGGTCACTTCACTATGCGGTTGTTGAATGAAGGACAGATTTCCTCTGGATACAAAAAACATGGTCCAACAAATGCTTCCAAATGATGTTCGAATCATTCCTTGTGCTCTGACCACACGTTGTTCATGCATCGGATCGGCAATTTTTTGTCTGACAGTTCCATTCTATAGGTTCATTCCCCTGGCCGTCTCGCTGCCTCGCAAGATTTGCACCAACTCAAATCGTTGACTCTCCTGATCTTTGATCTTGTCCATGAGCTTGAAGATCATCTTTTGCAGGGCCTCCTGGCATTCGCAGGTAGCAAAATGAAAACAAAACTAAACCCAGTATCACATCCAAGGTATCACAGACTCATTGAACATATTGAACATTCCCATTGAACCTTCCGACCGGGACGAAATCTGCCTTGTTGCTCTCGGAGATGAGCCCCTCTTCACGGACCAGCTTCTTCACCAAGGCGTCCACATCTGTCTCCGGATCAAGGCTGCCAAGTTCGATCGACTTGGTCTCGAGATCTCCGTTGATGCCATGATACTCCAAAATGATCCTCGGATGCATCCGGCCGTCTTTGGGTAGGATTCTTTCCAATGAATGGACTTTCAGAAGCTACTACACTGGTTTCAGAGTAGATGGCACAAACTCCAAAAGGTGGTTTATGTGGACCCACATCTAAAGGTGCCATCTACTCTGAAACACTATATTTATTGTGTTCCTATTCGTGAGCGGGGTCCTGACCTTGCCTTTTGCAACTGGTAGACGAGGGGCGGGTATCCCAGAAAGCTGGTGGACATCCCACAATCACAGGTGGCAAACATGCCTGGAAAATCCCTGGAAATTGTGGACATCCCCCGATGGACCATAGGGTGGAAGAAGGGTGCCAATTTCTCATGTTTTCGTTCGCATGTACTCATGGTACAGTACTCATCAATACTCCAATACGTGGGATGGAGGCACCATCAACTTCCGCCCCAGACAGCTTTCTTGAAATCAAGTGGTGCCGGTTCCCGGGCGGGAAATATCTCAGCAGAAAGCGCTTCAGCTTGGTTGCACAGCGGGCATGCGCGGGCCGGCTTTCCGGCAACATGGCCAAATGGCGAGGGCCGGAGCCGAGCCAACCTGCTTGGGGCAGCAAATCCTGCTTGCAATTGGGTGACTCCGGAGCCGCATGTTATGGTATTTTGTTGATCTACAAACAGAACAGCACCATGATGCACCATGTATCTCTAGCGGTTTTTCTAGCTCAAGCACGCCCCCAACTGCTCAAAGACCATATAATAACCCACATGTTGTGTGTTTCAAGTGTCCCAGCTATTTGTCCTACGGGTCTGCATCCCCTTTTCTTCTGTTCAACAAGATGAGCTGTCTCTCACACTTCTCAGAGTCGAAGGGCCTTGTCAAGCTCTTCCAGCTCCGCACTCAGTGGAGAATTCTCAATCACAGAGACCAAGAAGTTTTCCCACCTCGAAACTGCACATTCGTTCCTTTCTAAAGGTGTTGGTCCCATGATCCAGAAACTAATCCCAAAACATATCAACAATCACTTTCGGAGGACCGTGTTTCCCAATGAGACAACATGTCAATGGCACAACACCTATGGTACACACCTCCCGCGACAAAAGAAATTCTCCGACCTTGCGGCAAGGCAACAAAAGGGCAGCGACATACACACCAAGCCTATTGACAAGTATAATTACAATGGTTTGCAACTGCTTTGAGGAAGAATGGAACAATTCTCTGCTCTCAGCCATGTACATACACTCTTGTAGCTTCTGGCGTCTGACACAGATCTTTCCCTTTGCCTTTAAATCCTTTTTCCATTGTTTTCCCGCCCCTTTGGCATCTGTGGCTCCTTCAATCACCATCCACCCGTGTCTCACGTAGCTCATCGTAGCTCCAAGCGGCCGTAGCAGGAGCTCTCGGGTCACCTCCTCCTAGAGCGGATCATTTCATCGACAAACAACTTACATAACTTACCCACCTGCTAACCTTCCCCACCTTTCCCAACTTGTCCAATAATTCCAATACACTTTTGGATCAACAGTGACCAAAAAAACAACAACACAACAACCACATGCTGGACTCGTCCAACGGACAAGCTCGCTCCTCGGTCCTTTGTTTTCCCCGCGAACGAAGGACCATTCGTTTGGATCCGAACGAAGGACCGTCCTGGACATGGAAGAGCCCCCAAAGGACAGGGGAACGTGTCCCAACCTGGGCGAACCGCGGGGCACCCGCGCGGGCTCCAGGGGAACGCGGGTGACAACGAAGAAGCACGTCGTTTGGTGCCAATTCTAGAGGCCTATTCAATATAGTCCCATGTGATGTTCTAGTGGGGTGAACCTTTCTTTTCAGGATTCAGGATTCACATCAAAGACGTTTCATCTTGATCCGAAACAGGATTGCCGATGATCCCGATTCCATGGATCCGGGTGTGGATGAGCCAAATCGATTCCGACACGCTCAATGGCCTTGGCAGAATGCATTAAGACCTGGCGGCATGGATCCATGAGCCCAGTGGATTGGCGAGAAGACTTGACCAAAAGTCTTTTCGTAACACATGGATCGCAAAAAACTAGGTAGAAACATGTAGAAACGGTTTGTACTGATCAATTTAAATTGTGCTTAAAAGGGAAATCTCATGGAATGCGCCGTCTTGATGCTGAACTGTTTTTTTAACTCAAGCAACCTTAGGAATCGAGAACTGAGAAAGCGGCATGGTGTCCATGCATGTCCTGTTTACAAGGAATTCATGCATATTCTCAGATCTTGCACCCAGATTCGTCCGTCCAAGTGGTGTCAAACAAGGCCGTCTGGTGAATCCAGTGTCACTCGTTGTGACTCGTGCCTGGCCTCACCCTCTTTGTCAGGGTCTGGCTCGGCCACAGTTAGCTGCACAGAGCCTCAGTAGTAGAAGGACGAGGGCAGCTCAGGAGTAGTTTTTCACGGTGGGTGTCAGTGCTCTGCCACGTCTGTGGATTTCGCGGCAGGCACAGCTCTACACTACACCACATGAAATATTCATAAGTTAGTTAGGACAACCCGTCAAAACCAATGAGGCAATTGGCAAAGATGTGCCTCGAGCCGGGCGTAATGGCCAACATGGTAGGGGTCGGCAGGACAGGCTATGACGTGCTTCCATCGTTTGCTTTTAGGTTGGAGGCCATCGCTAGTAGGAGCAACTAGTCTTCAGTCTCTTGTCTTTTCCATGCAAAGCCATCAAATCCGATAGCATCTGGTCCAGTCACACACCTCTACGGAGGATCACTGCAACAAATGAATGATGTGTGCCCTTTAGCTGCACTGTCTTGCTTATCCCGTCCCACTTAAGCCCGTGAATTGAGTCTCGCAAGATTGAAATGACCATCCGTCTGAACAATGTCGATCGCTACCAGTTGGTGAAGCACATCATAAAATCATAGCACATCAAAAATTCTGTACGACACAATGAACACACCTTTCCAGCACAGAAACACATACTGTATGACTGTATATATATATATATATCCCCAACTTCAACCCATAGCTTCACCACAATGCACCCTATCGCAAACCCCAGCCCTAACCTCTCCCACCGAGTGCACGGCGTGGGCCACCCGCCAAAGTCCCCACCTCGGCTGCGAGAAACTGCGAGAAACCCCAAACCGCGGACACCCAAAACGCTCATCATCAGCACCCATCACTATCAGCACCCACTTCACTCATCAGCTGATCATCGGCTCACCGTCGCTGGGAGACGGACGAAGAGCCGATGCCGGATCACTGCTTGCAACATGTCCTGGAAGAAGTGCTTGGACCCAACATGGGAGGATGAGGGCACCTCTCAAGTCCCTTAAGTAAGCTGAACATGTTGAAAAGCACATATGTCTGGGCAGGTGGAATCTTAGTCTCCAGCGTTTGGGTGGGAAAGGAGGATTTCACGACAATATTTCAATGACAATCCCATTGTGGCCTCGCTTTTCAGCATGCAGTTCAGCATCTCACTAACTGTGATGGTGCCAGACCTGAAGCGTTGAAGGCATTCTGCTTGAAACAACCCCCCCTCCCCAGCACTCGACAAATCAATATATTCCAAATGAAGGGCATTTCAGCCAGTTCGGCAATTCTCTTTAGCATCCAAATCATGTAGGGAGGTCATCTGCAGGAACTGCGAGTGGCTTTGAGTTCCTGGCCCGTCCTCATCCATGATCCGAAACCTCAGCCAAGGCCCAAGCTGGCCCATGCCTTCTTTCAAGAACATGATCCACCAGTTCTATGACTCGGCAAATCACGCTTTCTGCCAGGATCTGCAGCTTTCTATTCTTGAGGGCATTACTTTTGTACATACCAACACCTTTGTCAACCACCAGGTGCTCCAACCACTCCAGCGCTTCCCATGCACGTCGTTCAAAGGTGGGCTGACGTGACAAGGGCATGAACCTGGCGACATGGCGAGTCTGCTGCTCGACCGTGCATCGATGGTCCGAAAGTCTCAAAACTTGGCTCAACCAACAATAGAATGCAGGACATGGTGTAGGATACTATAATGAACATGTATATAATTATACAGTAAAATATTTTGCAACTTATCTGCTATATAGTCACTACATGGACTGATACGCATGGAAACCCACTCTGGCCTACAACATCCTACAACGTAGCACCTTTTTTGGACCTATCCCAATATTCAACATTGGCACCGTGCTGGCGGGCAACTTTGGCCCATATCAGACCCGAGCGGCTTGCAGCACCACACGCCGCAAATGGCCATAAGCCTCACAAGCTTCTTCCTGCAAATCCAGCGCCTCTTGACTTCCCATGGGCATTGCCGCCAGCAGCGGCTCCAATGGTTCCAACGCCGCCAACCACACGCTGTGCGCGCTGCCACGCGCGCTGCGTGGCGATGCCACCGGCTCCAGCGCCACCGGCTCTGCGCTTTGCTGCGCCAGGAGCTGCCGCAGCCGGGCGTTCTCCTGCTGCAGCTCCTGCAGCTCCCACTGCGCGGGACGAGCGCCCGGGGAGGTGGGCGTGTCGGGGCACGCACCCGAAACGGAGAGGCTCGTAACCTCACGCACCTCTTTGGTGAGCTGATCCACCGTGTGACGAGAGCACATCATCTCTGCCTGCAAGGCTTCCAAATGTCGGAAGCGTTCCTGAAGGTCCTCTTCGCGTTTGCTTTGCCACTGATTTAGCAAATCCAAAGAAAAGACCAAATGCAACATGCCACCCAAGACCTCTGGATTCTTGGCATACATCGCACTATGCTCCACGATGCTCTCCTGCACCTCCCTCAAATTGATACCCAGTTGGGTCTCACGCAGCTCTTCCAAAGCCTCTTGTAACCTGAACTGCTCATCCAGGGCATAAACATTCAGTTTCCCAAAGCTTCCCAACACATGTTCATCCACAAACGAAAAGGATCTCGAGGCTCAGGATCTCCATAATACGCAACCCAAACCCTTACACCTGGACCTTCCAACTATGCAAGATTTTGCCGAGTTGGAAGATCCTGGTATAAACAACATGTGGATCTCTCTAGGTGACTTCTTATTTTACAGCCCCCAACATCTGAATCAATCGCAGGTGGCTGAGCCACAGCTGTCACACCATGTGCCAGGCGCCGCCGACCCTCGGCCAAAGCCCTCAGTGCGCTCTCGGCCCGCAAACGCAGAGCGCTGGTGCCGGCGCTCTCGGTGTCCATGGCGACCGGTGCTCATCACCCAAACATTCACGTCGACGAGTGTGAACGCGTCTGGAGCTTCTGGGTCACGATTGGAGAAAGGAAGGGTGTAGGGGGGGTTAGTGATTAGTGTTCAGAGATCTTGAAAGGTGGCCTCAATCTTGGTTCAGTCTTCTACGCAGTCATACATGCTCGTCGGTGTTGATTCCTTTTCTACAAGGCTGGCACCGCAAAGCAAATGGATCAAAGTCGTGATGGTCCCAATTCCCAAACTCCAATGCTCATACAAAGAACCTTACCGGCCTGATATGTTTCAATATTTGTGAACATATTCTACTCTTGGACTCATCAAGGGCCTCAAGTCTTGCAAGATATCTTCAATATACAGTAGTTGCTGCTGCTACGTTCCTTTGCTGTCTTTGTGTCATTGGCCATTCAGGACCACCAACCTCTCGATGAACTCATCTTGCTCCATCTGGCCTGGGGAAACCGCAGGGCATGCAACATGATTGACATAAGCGCACACATACCGTATACACCTGTTTTAAAACGATCAAATGGCAACAAAAGCCTGTGGTGCCACCAACATCCCCCGAACCACGCATAGTGATGGTGAGTCGCCCCAGCCCCTAGTGCCAGCCCCGAGAGGACTTGTGCAACCCTGGGTGGCACACCTGCATGGGACAACGTGATCATCAGTGGCGATAACACTTCTAATTACAGTGGTTTCAGAGATGGCACAATCGGTTTAAGGTTGGTTATATGGATCTCCTTCTGCACGACATCTTGGGGTCTCCATCTACTCTTGCAACCACTGTATATATACAATTGTAATATACATCATTTAGATCGAAGACTATAATGGGTATTTCATCCAATCAATTCTTACTCGCATGCCTCCCCCGTGTCACCTTCTCGCCATCCATGTTTTTGACAACTCCTTGGCTGATTGACAGCTTGACCTTCACACTGGGAGTACTGATTTCTCAGCCAAAACACAAGGCTCCGCATGACCCCAACCGCCCCGAAAACACCACGTCCACGGGCCCCTCAGCCCTTCCTCCCCTCCGGGATGTCCCGCCGATGTTCTTTCGACCAGTCAGGAGAGCCCAGCTGGTGGTTTGTTGGCCTCCACGGTAGGCCGAATGGGTGAAACGTTCCACGCGCTGTGCTCGTGCCGTTCTTTGCCAAGTCGAGGGTGGTAAGAACATATCACGGGCAACGCCGGGCAATCAGGGGCAACCTCTGGCTTTGTCACCAGCACGCCCTCCAAGGATCCTTCAAAAACACAACATTTGCAGTAATCTATATTGTTCAATCTGATTGCTTGATCTATTGCCTTTGGTCTTCGTTCACTTGACTGTCCTTCGTCACGTTGGTTGTCGAAATTGGTCCGGTCCGTGATGGTCACAGGGCTCACAACGACGCACGACCTTCCCTGCTCTCTGGCCCGGACGCATGTAGTTTTCCAGCTTGGGATCCTTTTGCTTCGACGGACGGCAGAACTGGGAAACGCCTCGCCTGAAGATGACAAAGCCATCTTCCACCCCACAACTGATTCACTCGTTTCTTTCCATTGTCCTTGACAAAGAACACTTCTAGCTGACATCGGAGACTGAGAAAAACAAACATGAATCTAAGCCTCTGTTTGCGGGGAAGTAATTAGTCTTCCAATGGGGCATGTGCATGTTCGAAGAAATCTTCCATTCGGCTTCACCCACGTATTTCTGCAGCCCCTGAACGAATGTGTGCATCGGCAGTCCTTGGCAAAGGTGTCCGTAAGCTTGAGATCCTGCTGGGTTGGCACATCACGTGGCTTCCCAAGAATTTGATAAAAATGATAAAGGCAAAGGTCAAGCAACAAAAAAGGGATCGAAGGAACTAGCTTAAGGTACTAGCTTGTATTGGTCCATATTTTAGCTAGTCAACCGTAGGCAAAGGAACGAAACAAGTTGCTCAGTGCAAATAGCGTGTCCGACGTTCCTGTCGTGATCTCGTTCAGTTGGTTCCAAAATGTCGTTTCAGTTTCCACCTCTCTCCGTTCATCTTTTCCCCTCTCTACCTCGCCACTGCGTGTTCTGAGGCTCACTGCCGTGTTCTCCAAGAGCCAACCAATGGCTATGCGCTCGTAGAAGGCCTCCGGCGGCTTTGGGAGCAAAGAAGGGAAGCAGAACGGTCCAGCCATCTGGATGACCAAAATATCTGTGTGTGGCATCAGCTTCCATTTGTAGAGCTAGCATGAGCTAGCTGGCAATGCTAGCAGCTAAATGGAAAATGCTGCGGTACTGTTGCTAGAGCACCACTCAATTTCTGGAGTGGCTGCTATCTGGAACACCACCAAATATCTGGCGAACTCAAATGCGAAGATGCTCTGCAACGTTTGCTCCCTGGCTGCTTCATGCTGCTTCTTGGTGTTTGTACGCCGCACCTCGTCCTCCTTTCGCAAGAGGAAGTAGTAGATCTCCCACCTGGATTCAACTCCATACCATACGGGTCCACAAATCATCCTCCCCCCAAAACAAAAGTGAAGAGAGCTTGGCACTATTCACTATTCATTGTATTTGACACTATTTGGGCCCGGTCCTACATCCAATCCAACATAATCCAACTATGGACCATAACGTGTCACGTGACTAATACAGAAAGCAAAGCCTCACCAAAAGCCAACCAAAATACGTTATCGAACCTCAGGATGAGCAGGTGGCTCTTTTCACTCTCAGAACCTGAGCGCCCAACTGCTTGCCACTGGCAGTGCACAACTCATCCTCCTTAGTCCCAAGATGTTGCAAGCCAGGTTCTTTCTTCAACCCCAAGAACGCGCGCGTGAAGAAAGCTTCCACTGAAACCAAGCTGTTATATAAGCATCAAAGGACTTCAATGGTCCACACACACACAACTGGTCGCCAGTTGCCAAACGACGTTGCAGCTGGTTGGGGCGCTCGTTTCGGATGCCAAACGTCGTTCCCGAAACCGGCACAGCAGGTGTAAACTGAGTCACTTCCCCGCTTTCGGCCAATGTCATCACAAATTAGAAAGCCTGTCTCAAGCCAAGTGAAGGGTGATTCTGCACGTTCCCCGCCCAACTCGGCCCAACTTCTCCCACCTGCCTTTTCCATCTGCGACAGCTGCGGTTCTAGCTGTTGGCATCAATTTCAGCGCCTTCTTTGGCAGCTGCGGTTTTCGCACTGCAGCGCTAGAAACGATGGCCGGGCCAGTGGGAACGTGGGAGTCGAAAAACATCGAAAAACCATGAGTCGACTCATCTTTCGGCACCGGACGGAGTTCACAGTCCAATGTGTATGCATTGTACTGAAGGCAGAACAATCCCACGACATCGTGTTGTATCACCCACTTGCAGGCTCCAACAGTAGCCCGGCCAAAATTATCGCAGGGAACACCGATCGGAATTCGATCTCGCGTTCCCCACCTAAAAATTCCAATATCTTCACCCAAACATCAAACATCCTCATTTGCGTTTGTCCATCTCTTTCCACGCGCAGCTCAAGGCGGGCCAATGCAGCTCAAACACCACCCTGGCCTTCGCCTCAGGCCTCAGTTCGGGCACTGGCAGTCGATCTCGTCGATCTCGTTGCTCGTCAGGGCCGTGAAGAAGATCTCACCTAGTTAGTTCATGGTGAGAAGCGAATGGCCAAGAGACAAGAAACCGCAAGATCTCATGGATCCTCACCTAGAAATGGCCTAGGGGCCTTGTGCGATCTACACACAATCAATCAAAATAATCACCAAAGCAGGCTGCTCTTGGGCAAACAACATCAGGGGGCTGAAGACAGAAGCAGCGCTAAAAGGGCCGAGGGCTTCGCAATTCCTCAACTTTTTGAGTACGAGTGCCACCATTGACAAAAGAGCACCAAAGCTTCCAATATTTCACTAAGCATTGCCCCCAATTAAGAGTCATGAGTGAAGCGATGTGTGATCCTCCCACGGAGGATCAGGGTTACACATGGCGATCACCCAGCAAACAAGACTTGAAACGTTCAACCTCCCTGTGATGCGCTATATATGTACTGTGATTAGTGCTATGTATAGACTGTTATCTTATATGATATGTTGATGTGCTTTTTTAAGGTTCAACCTTTTGATGATTATTTTTCAGCATGTCTCCATACTCCTTTCACCTGCTCCAGGTGGAGCACATCCCGTCTCGTCACCTCAACAGTCTTGGCGTACGTGCGGAGAGCACACCGCTCGGTCTCATGTCCTCCTGCGGGCAATTGCCATGGTTGGTGATGACGGTTGAAAATCGGATGAGATTCCTGGACTGTGGTTGATTGGAATAATATCCTTGCAGTACAGTATGTTTTAAAGTCGTTTAAATAGTAATATGATGTAATATGTTTCGACAAAACATCTGAACCCCTTTCTCCAACACATCTGAGCTGAAACCAACGTGTACGGCATCTGATGGCATCTGCAAGCAAACTGTGCGCTTCAAATCACGGAGAAACCCATTCTTGCGCCTCCTTCCGCCGAAGTCGCTTGGACAAGGGCACGGCCGGCTTCAACTCCTGCACAAAGCAGTGGTGGCTTTCTCACTGTCAGCAGGCTCCCCACCTCCACTCGGAAGCACTTTGGAGGGGACAGGTGTAGCAAAACTAGCTAGCTACTATGCCGTGTTTCGGAAGTCCGTCTTCAAGTAAAACGGCGCCTTCATCTCGCTCTGCAAGGCATCAAGCTTCAAGGAACCTTGGGGATGACGTCATCTGCATGGTTTTTCCTCTCAATACTTTAAAATCGTTAAACATCCGCACAAGGATGTCAAAAGGCTATTATAGCATGCAGCAGCGTGCACCTGTGCATGAAAAACACATGAAAAACGATCCCGTGGCCTCTCATCTGTCTCAATCTACCCGTTCTTCGCACCATGAAGCGTCTCTGCCACTTGCCCCAGCAACGTGTGGCCCGTCCAAGTGGCCCTCTGGGCTCGTCCAAGTGGCTCATGCGCGCGCCCGACTCTCCGCTGGCCATCGGGGTCTTTTTCGCAGAGGCCAATGTGGCGCTCCGGTCCCGTTGCCTCGGGGACCAACGGAATGGACGGGGAGATG